TATATATATATATAATTATATGTATATGTAAGTACTATTAAAGATTTTTACTTAAACTTATTATATTGATAAGGTAGTTTAAACTTGAAAAAAGAAAAAAATGTTTTTAATGACAAACGTGATTGTTTTTTTTCTTTTCAGCATCAAGTTAATTATTTCTAATAATGTAAATATCTATAATAAAAATTGATAAATTATAGCTAATATTTAACTCACAAAGTCATAGAAATTACTATAAAATATATTTATAGTAATTTTTGGTGGCTTTTTGAGGTAAATTTATTTAAAGTTTATTGAATTTAGTGAAAAAAATGCAATCAAATATTATGATTAAAAATTTGTTGAATAAAGATAACTCTAATATTCTTTGAAATATCTTTGCTATTCAATTTACAGTATGTTACAATTCCATCGAGATGTGAAATTATAAATGATGAGGATGTAGACTTTGTAATAGAATATGTAGATCTACCATTTTATTATACACCAGTGGATAAAGAATGGTGTAGAGAAAAATGTAAAAGTTTGGGATTTACTTATCAGGAACCAATTATGAATCAGAAGTTAACATCAAACATGTTTCCAGTTGATGTTTTTTTTGATAACCAAGGATTCTTTATTGTATTGTCAGAATTAATATGCAGGGACATTAAAATTAATCATAATATACATAGAAATATTATAGAAGTAAGCAGTAATATATTTGCCATGTTTTTATATTATTTTTCATTGAAAACTTAATATTTTTATGTAATCAGAATCTAATAAAAAATGAAAATATCAAAAAATTTGTTAATAATGACAGTTGGTTTGAAAATAATATAACATCAGGTATGAATCATACTAAAAATTTTATTTGCTTATACATAAATATTACCTGATAATTACGATGATACTTAGAATTCATTTATTTAAATATTTTAAAATTTTCACTTATGAATTCAGGTAAAAGTACAGGTTATAAGTTTTTTTTTTTTAACGCAGGGTCAGCCATTAAAAAGGCGTATATTGAATAAGCGGTTTCAAAAATGAAAAACTATTTTTCTACTCAAAATTAGAAAAATTTATTCATATTAATTTTGTATTGTTATAATTATATTTTAAAGTACTGTTCAGTGTGATAATTTTTATTGAAAACTATTACAAAAAACAATTAAATGTATAATAATGTCAACTGAAACACATTATTGTCTGTTCTACTTTTAAGAAAATCCAAAATTTAACATTTTTTAGACGTCCGACATATATGAAATAATGACATCTAAGATTTCAATACGCGATTTTATATTATCATTAGTATCTGAATGAAAAACATTGCAAATAAAACAGATTAATAGACTATATGAAATTGTAGAGTCTATTGAACCAAACTCAACAACATTCAATACATTCTGAAAAAAAAACGTTTTTCCAAAATTCATTATCCTTTACACGCCAGACGTATCTGAAATAATTATTCAATTATTTATGTATTATTTATTTATATTATAATGTAATTATTCAATACTTGATATTAAATCATAATTAATTTCACGAGATACTAATTTCAGATTTGGTACTCTTAGGATTAACTAACTTAAATTAAAAGGAATTATCATTATTTTTCAATTTTGTGGATCGTGTAAAAACTATAAAGAAAATAAATAATTAATAAAATACTTTTAGAATATTAAGAAATAAAAAATAAACGTATTAGTCATGATTTATTATAAAGACTACATGTTTATTATTAATCCATGATAAACACAGTTATATTAATTGTATTTATTTGTTTTTTACAGTTAATAAAAACCCTTATATTGAAATGGTAATTTTTGCTGCAGCTTATTACTTAGATGTCTGTATTTATGTATTCAAAAAAGAATATGATGCATGGATATACTTTCGAAAAGGATGGCCAAACTATAATGAAATTGATATGAAAAATGAAAAATGCATTTATCTATACATGGATGAAGATCATACTAATTTTATGACTAATAATTATTTCTAGTTATTTAAAAACTATAAAATATAACTATATAAAATAAAGTTCTGGACATTTTAATAGTAGTATCTATTTAAACACCAATAGTTACATAGAAATGATTAGTATTTCTATTGAAATGATTAATTACGATATAAATACAAAAAATATAATAGTACATTTTTGCACTTTATTCATAAATTTACTGTTAATAATAATTATATAAATTTCTGATCATATGTCAATCTAAACAAAACCATTTTTTAAATCTACATAAAATTTTCTATTTAATGAAATAAATTTTAATCATGCATGTTGCACTAAAAAAAAGTTAAAAGCCCAACATTGTTAAATTATTACTTATATAAAATTTAAAGGACCAAAAAACTAGGTTAAACATGACAGTTTAAATCGGAATTTTGCACGGACTATTTTTAACATATTAAAATTGGAATCAATTTTTTATATGTAAATAGCAATAAATAAATGTAAATATATATATTTTAGCTTTGATGCAAAGCTAAATAACACCATTTTCCTTTATATATTATAAAAATACGTATATATTTATTGAAAAGTGTATGGATCAACACAATTTTTTTATGAGAAATAATATTTTTTAATAAACCCTTTTTCATTCGACATACTTTATCTTAATCGGGATATAAATAAGAAAATAGGAGATCATGTAGCTTTTGGAATAATCCACTAATTTTTTTTAATTAAACTTTATCTAAAGATTTGCATCGAAGCGTTTTTTTTGATATTGATTTTAATCACTATCAGATATCATTATACTTGATCCAACTATGCCACATCGTCACTGTGCCGCTACCCCAATGTGTTGGGTTTTTTTTTTTCGATAGCTGGTTATCAAAATTTTTAAAACCTAAGATGTTGTTTTTGCAAATCTAACATAAAATCTTCAGACTGCATTATATTTTTAAAATTTGAAAAATTATTTTAAAAATGTTTTCTGATAATTTTATGTTCTTCCTTTATAGGGTAATCTATATATCTTTTAAAATTGTTCAAATCTTCACTTATTACCTTGCTTCCTAAGAAAATAAATGAAACTAACAATTATGTAGGGCAGACAGTGATTTACACTATAGTCGCATTATTGCATTAAAAATTTATAAAATTAATTCCGACATTTTTTTTTATATTTTATTTCAATTTTAATACAATAGCAGACATATTAATCTAATAAATACATTAAATTACTCATTAAAAATTCTTACTTATTTTTTAAATACTTAAAGATAAATAGTTCAAACACTTAATTTCCTTTGAAATTGTAATTGATATTGAAGCCCCTACGTTTATGTCAGTGATACTAACTAAATATTTTTAAAAATGTTAATACTATGAAAATAAATAAAATGATTACATTACGTATATCTATAGTAGTACTATAACGTAAAATATTGGTACTTACTTACCTACTTTATTTTATTTTTAATGCTAAAAACAATAAGAATAAAAAATACTTTTAAAAAAAATTCAAAACGATCGAATAACATAACAATTAAGTAGAACTTCGATAACGATAATTACAATTTTTACGTAATGATGTCTGGTGTGCGATTAAAACAGAATAGACTGTAAGAGTTTGGTCTGCCTTTTATAATATTTTGCATCCCCAATAGTCATCATTGTCTCATTCTTACTATGTTATTGTTTATTAATAAGTAAGCATGAAATATATAAATTAATCTGTAATAATTTATATATTTCATGCTTTATTTGAGGTGATACTAATGGGTGACTTTCTTTAACGCTATTAATGTTAATGTTATTAAATAAGTCAAAATAAAAAAAAAAAGACTAAATAAGTAATTAATTATTGAAAAAATAATGTTTTTCTAAAAAAAAAAAATACGTCATTTTCTATTTTATAAGCTATTTAAAAAATATGTTTTTCTATTCAAAAAAATTAAGTTGATACCCCTACAAGACATAAGTGATGAACATAAAAAATATTTTATAAAAGATAAATGTAGTTGCATATGTAACTAACAAAAGCCAAAGAAATATTCTCTAAAAAGTTATTATTTTAAATATTACTGTTTTTTATTTTTACATCACTGTCGTAATATGCTCAATGCTTTGAATTACATATCTTACATTAACAATGAAAATTTATTATTTTGTGACGAGAACGAATTTGATACCTTTATATATCGAATGGTTTATCAAATTATCTTTGGATTACAATTTATAGCAACAAAAAACGAAATGAGTCAACTTGTATTATCCCAATTAATTAGAATTAATAATCTGAGTAAAGAACGGTAAAGCAATAGGTCGATTTATAAATTATTTAAATTGCTTATTAATAACTAGTTAGTGCTTGGTCATATACTTCGACTTGATATCAGAGGAGCTCTTCGTCACTCCAAAAATACCTTAGCGTATAACACCTCTATAAGAGGAACTTTAATTATTTATTTTTTATCTACTTGTCTTTATTGTTCTAAATTTTCGGACTCTACAACTTCGATAGAACCTCGTTGCTCACGAATATACTAAATCCCCAAACTTTGATCAACATACCCAAGATAATAGCTTATTTTAAATTATTACTAATAACAATCAAATAACATTAAAAATGAATAAAAACAGACACTTTGAGCTTCGATGCGAAGCTGAGAAGGTATTAGTTTTACTATGATGTTTTTTTTTTGTGTCTGTTACCACTTTTTCTCAGCTCTCACAGAATCCATTTCTTTCAGCGATACGTCAAAAGATCACAAATCGTATCTAGCCGAAGACATTACCCTCAAAAATTGAAAAAATTTCCCTCGTTTGCCGTAAATGGGCGAAACCTCCAAAAAAATTACAAATTTTCAAATCGCTTTAAACATTTTTTCAATTTTTTTTCTTAAAACTGCCAAAACTTTTTTAAAAATAACCAAATCAATTTAGATTTTTTATATTTTTAAATTTATAATGCTTTAACTATTTGAAAAATGTATGGATCAATATAATTTTTTTTATAGATACAGAATGTCTTTACCTAACATTTGGTATATTTTTTTATAAATCTTACCCTTTACCTGCTCACAGGGGGGGCATTCAAAATGACAACTTTTTCACAAAAATTTACTTTTTCATCTTAACTTTTGAAAGTGTTCCGGAGAGTCTGACACTTATATATATATATCAAATTAAAGATAATGTAATATATTTTATTATGAGAAAAAAATTTCAGACTTTATTTTGTCTTCACGGTGAAAATAGTTACCAAATGCTATTTTTGTGTGAAAATATTCGATTTTATATTTTACATTTTTAACATTTTAATGCTATAACTTATTGAAAGGTGTATCGATCAATACAATTTTTTATGAGAAATAATATTTATATCCCTTTTCATTCGTCATACTTTATCTTAATTAGGATATTAATAAGGAAATAGCAGATCATGTAGCTTTTGGAATAATCCACCAATTTTTTAAAATTAAACACTATCTAAAGATTTGCATCGAAGCGTCTTTTATGATAGTGATTTTAATCATTATACTTGACCCAACTATGGCACGTCACCACTGTGCTGGGTTTTATTTAAATTCAGAAAAATATAATTTAAATCTATAAACTATTAACACTCATTTTTTTAGATCAGATCATTCAACATTTAATAATTGTGTTAAATATTTTACAAGCGAACTTTGAAAAAATATTATTTTTTTTATGATAAAACAGGTGTATTTATTAAGCTAGTAAAATTGGTGACTCGAATAGTATTCATTGGTTACCAAGCGAATTTAATGTCTCATCTAGAGTGAAGTGAGAACCCCATCCCAACTCCACCCAGTTATTAGAAGATTCTTAGTATAGTATTTTTTAACGTTTTAAAAAATAGGTTTTTGTTTCCTTATTAAATATCATCGTTATTTCAAAAATCAAAATATATAAAATTTTGATAAAATTATTTGATAAATAATTGATTAATTTCTGTTGTTAAAAACGACATAATGACATTAGGTATTACTGGTGCTGTTACTCTAGTTTATTGTATTTTTTTATTTATCAACTGAGAGTCGAAAATACATAAAAAAACGGTAGCACAGTGGTAACGTAGCATAGTTAGATCAAGTATAATGATATCTGACAGTGATTCTTAATCACTATCATACAAAACAAAATAAAGCCCGAAATTTTTTTTCCATAATAAAGTATATTACATAAGCTTTAATTTAAGATATATATAAAAGTGTCAGTATTTCCGGAACACTTTCAAAATACAAGTTGAAAAAGTTAATTTTTTGTGAAAAAGTTGTCATTTTAAATCCCCTCCTGTGGGCAGGTCTAGGGTCAAATTTATAAAAAAAATGTACCAAATGATAGGTAAAGACATCAAGCATCTGTAAAACATTGAATTGATTTGTTAATTTTTGAAAAAGTTATGGCAGTTTTTAGTAAAAAAAATTGAAAAAATTTCGAAAATTTGCGATTTTTAAATTTGTAATTTTTTTTTAAAGTTTTCCCCCATTTACAGTGAGTGAGGGAATTTTTTTCAATTATTGAGAGTAATGTATTCGACTAGATACGTTTTGCGACCTTTTGACGTATCGTTAAAAGAAATCAGTTCGGTGAGAGCTAAGAAAAAGTGTTAACAGACACAAAAAAAAACACATCATAGTAAAACCAATACCTTCTCAGCTTCGCATCGAAGCTAAAACATATACCATACAATTTATCATTTCCACGAGAAAATAATATTTTTATCACCGAGTGAGAATTTTTTAAAATATGCAATGGATTAAATGGTTGAATTATAATGATTTTTAAATAAATAATTTACACGGATTCATAAAATGCTGAGTATATTTAAAAATATTTATGTATTCTTTGAAGCTTAAATGACTAATTTTCAAACTCAATAATAAACAATTGAAAAGTATTAATAAATAAAATTAAAACATTCTAAAACATATATTTTAAATTATATGGCGTATAATAATAGTTCATTATTATCTATTATAAATCCAAGATCGACAAAGTAATTTTTGTAATAGTATATCGTATATTGTTTAATTTCATCATCGGCAAAGTGATAAAAACTATTTTCAGTAGGTTCCTTACTGAATCGATATTTTAATTCGTTATAAGTAGGCACCGGTGGGTTTTGGTTCC